TGTCACAACACCGTCAACAGCGACAGAGACAAACCCCTTTCATCATCAATACAGCCCCGTGTGAGGAGCGTGGCCCCAGCCCCTGGACGCACCATGTTGTGTCGGCCGGCCTGGCGGATCCAGCGGCTGTTGTCGCTGTACTGCTGCCTGACGCGCTCCGGCGCTGAAAGAGAGGACAGGTCACTGCAGGACAGCTCCACAGGCATCAACGCCCCTTAATCGCTCCTCTCCTCGTTAAAGGAAGCAGCTCAACGAAGTCAATAAATCGGACAGGTACTGAGATGCCGAGCCATGTCGACACGAGACCTGACGGGTAGCCAGTGCGAGGACTCCAGGACAGGAGTAATATGATCACTTGCACGCGACCTGGTCAGGATCTCTCATCCTGCAGAGATCTGCTCTCTGCCTGTCTTTGCAGAGAGCAGATCTAAAAGAGTCCAGATCTCTTTGCTGCTTCTGATGTGACGGTCGAAGCAGGCGTGTCACCTGTCAGACAGGAGCGGCCCCTCCCTCCTACCTGTCCTGCTGATGTCATCCAGCACGCCCGCGGCGATGTCGTCCGTCTGCGCCAGGTCACTGGGGTCCCCCGAGGTGCACACCCAGCGGAACGGCCCGAACCCCAGGGAGAAGATCTCTCTGCAGGACAGGCAGAACCGGCCCGTGAGCTCTCACACACAGCTGTGCTCCAGCCTTTCTGCCTGCAGGTTTCCACTCCAGCTCAGCTCTTCACGAGGCAATGGCACTCATTACTGAATTCACTGGAGAGGCCTGGCAGCTTTCCTCAGCTCTTCAGATGCTAAAATCTGATGAGGAGACCTGGGAAACGTGCAGGACAGCAGCCGCTCGGGACTGGAGCTGGGCAGCTGCAGGGAGAGATGACCAGTGGTAGTGGGCACCTACCCCATTATATGCTGGACGTAGGAGGGGTATTTAAACTCAGTCTTTCCAGCCCCACTCTTCTCCACATCAGCTCCTGCAGCACAGAGACAGGTATTCACGCGTGTCAGGCGGC